CACCACCGCCGCCGCCACCAACAACAACGACGACGACGACGACGACAACGACGACGACGACGACGACGACGACAACAACAACAACTGCTGCATAATCCTCACCCTCCAAAGACAACCCCCCTCCCCTCCCGTGATGCATTGTTGCTAAACTACTGATTATCAGGGGTGGGGGGGTTCTTATTTGGGAGGATGGGATTGGTCAGTCCCGTGGCCGGTAGACTACAGTTCCCTAAGCCCTAAACCCTACACTCTAAACCTCATTGCTTGAACACATCAGGTCTCCTGGTAGTGCCGCATGCGAATGCATTCTGGGATGCCATACAGCCATCTATACACACGTAGATTCTGAAGGGTGTTTGCACGTAGATTTGAAGCCATAACACAGTCACGATTGAGCCTTAGGCTTCCCAGCAAGAACCAAAGTGCTTGCCGATGCACGCCGTAGTTGTCTGGTCTGAGATAGCTATACACTCAGCTGCTTTAACATGGAAACTTTTTGCAGCCAAGCCCCAAAAGTGCCGTCTGCTCCCTAACTATCCCCGGCGCCTTAGAATTCAACCTATATGACCCCTATAAAACCCTGTATGATCCCCATATAATCCCTATAAAAACTCAGATAATCCCTAAAATATCCCATGGTCCTGCCACGCACTCATCAGGACGCAGACTGCGCGCAAAGCTCAAGCCTCGGAGGAGGTGAAGTAAAGTAGGAGCCTATGGATACTGATCAAATGGGATTTGGGGTTTAGGGTTTAGGGTTTAGGGTTTATGGGAGTTTCCCAAAAGTAGGGCTACCATTTTAGGGGTCCCAATGATAAGGACTCTAGTATTTTGGGGTCTATATTGGCGTTCCCTTATTTTGGGAAACTACCAAATAGAAATTATAGAGGGTTTAGGGGTTAGACGTGTAGGATCTAGGGATTGGATAGGGTTTAGGGGCTTATGTAGGGCTTAGGGGTTATATAGGGTTTAGGGTTAGCGTTTACGGGTCAGGGTACGGATGCATAGTGACTATTTAAGGTTTAGGGTTCATAGTGTACGGGGTATGTATACTGATATTGTGTTTTTTTTGTTGGGCTTCGAGTGTCAGTGTTAGCCTTCTGAAGGAACGCTTAACAGTGGACGTAGGGGTCCCCCTGCTAGTTTGGTGTAGTCCCTGGTATAGTCCCTTCTTTGTCCATCGAATGGCTCATATGTAGGGATAATTGAAGGGTTAATATAGTCTAGGGTATCGATATAAACATATTACATAAATACACCAATATATTTTTTATGGAGGTTATACAAGGGAATTGGGGCTCCTAATGACAATGGAAGGGACATGAAGTCTACTATGCAGGGTTTAGGGTCTAGGGATTAACTATAAAGATAATGGAGACTCAAATTCAAAAGAAAGTTCAAAGTGCATGGAAATTCGGTTCATTTACGGGCTTCACAGGGATGATGATATTGGTATAGATGTTTTGGTAGCTATTCAGGCTTCTACATTGGATGGTTTCGGTGCGTGCCCTCCCTTGACTACCAAGAGGGTCCAGGTAATAACATACAATATATGATATACATCTGTATACTTACCCTAAGGGTGTACTACAATTACTATTACCCAAATCCCAAATACCCAACTATTGTGGACATGGACCCTTAGGGTTAGGCCCAAAGTACTTATGTAGAAGCCCATCAGTTTGGGCCCCAGCTATCTACCGCATCCCTACGTGGACTTCGGGCATCTTTGAGTGGCATTCGACAGTTTACGTCAAGTTATGCCCATACCCAGAGGAGTACCCAACAATTAGGTACGTGGGCTTTGGGTAATAGTGATCATGGGATAGTGTGAACTTTCCGAGAGTTGGGTTCTCACATGTTGCCAAAGCTACGGCCAGGATGGGTTTAAGAGGCCTTACAACTGAGAGGTATTGTATAAGGCTGGTAGGTTTGGATATACGACAAGTGAAAGGTTGAACCCGTGATCCCATAATTTGGAATGTTCATAGGCCTTTGGCACAAGGTGCGTTGCCAGAAGCCCCTGAATCCCACACGCGAAGTGCCAACCATGAACTGCAGACAGGATGCCAATGCTTGCTCACTTTTCCAGGACCCAGGAAGGGACAGGAAACAACACTGCTCGGTCAACGGGCTATAGAAGACCGTAGCGTGATGGGAACTCAGCGTATTTTATGGCGAGTTGGGTTAGATTTCAGCGATCCTCGTGGAACAGTTTTGCTTTTTATGCGTGCCAAAGTACTGCTTGTTGGGACAGCGTGTTTTTTGCTCAGGGCACACGCTTCAGAAACCGGTCAGGCGTGTTCAACCCAACCTTTTGCATGTGCATCCATTGAGAGACTCTCAGCAGCGAAAGCTGTCCCAACAGTTGTTTCGAGGAACACGCGCAAAAATCGCTCCTCATGCGGTTCCGCTAAATTCTGGAATCAGCCACAACTACTGTACAATTCAGCATTCCGCCGAAGCCATGCTTCATCCCGAACCCATGTGATCCTGACAAATTATCCTCTTGTCGCGAATGCAAAACTTCTGAGAAGCTGCTCAAAGCTCAGTGTTCTGTGGCCGAACCAGCCAACCTGGTAGTTTCGATTCGCGCTTACATGCATAGTGAAGAAGCTCCAAAAGAATCATCATGTGATCCTGTTCATAGGGACCCCTAGAATCCGCGGGCTCCAGATATATCCCTCGGGTCCGCAAGATACCCAATCTTTCAGAATTTCCCATACACGGCAGATTCCATGTTCCCATTGTTGCAGTCCCGTGTATCGCCACCGTAGACATGGTGATTACTCCCATTAGCTCAATCCCTGCAAATCCAACAGGCCTATACTCAAGTAGGTCTAGAAAGTATTTGCCATACTTGTTCACTTGAAGGTGCTGAGGCGGACTTCAATAGCGCTTCAAATTATACATATATAGAACATGGAAACACAAGTCCGTAGCCTTTGCTTGGAGACCTTTTGTCCTTCAGGAGCATCATGCTGCAATTTCATAGAACGGAACTGCTAGGGCGGGCTATCTTGGAGTCGATAGGCGTTGTTGCATGTTACCAGCATCGCCACAGAGAGAGAGAGAGCCCCCTATGCGTGCACAAATTGTCCACGGAAGCCCTTCGAACTTAAGGCGGCAGCAAATCCCTTGTAGACCCTCATGGAGTTCTCGTTCAAGCACCTTATTCTACATCAGTATCAGGCTTAGCAAGCAGCCCGGAATTTACAGAACTTCCCAGGTGGTACTCTTTGCTGCGTCCTAAAATACGGCGGCTCCAAGAACTTCTTCAACAGCGTGGACACCAGGACTGAGGGTTGTACTCCCTCATGCTCCTGATACGGATCACAGGGCTTAGAGGGAGATGGATATCCTTGATAGTGGTTTTGGGGGGGTATATAGGGTTTAGGGATTAGGGTTAGTGGGTTTTGGGGGATATATAGGGTCTAGGGTTCAGGGTTTAGGGGCAAGCCTTTAGAATAGGAGAAAATCGAAATGACATACAGAAGCTGGGATAATACGACCCTAACCTCTAGATCTCCTAACAACATTCACTGCCCCCCGCAATAGTAAGATACATCCCTCACCATCATGGTTGAGTACTATATTGGGAACATTGATTTTGATTTCTTTTCAAATGGAGGGGGGTTGAAGTGTACATATGGACAGTGCAGGGATAGAACCGAGGTTTGTGGGGTTGGGGATGTGGGGCACCTTTTTCGAGTGTCCCCAGAATAAGGATAGTATTTTGGGGTCTATATTGGGGTTTCCCGATTTCCGGAAACTACCGATAGATAGACAGATAGATAGATAGATGCACACATGCAGATAATTTTTCACACGTACCTCTGCAAGATCCGAGAGGGGACCCCTGCAATCCGCTTGTCTCCAGAATCTCGTTCTCGCAAGATAGCCCAGCTTGGGAGGGGCCGTTTATAAGATCTTTGCGCAATCCCCCAAACACCCTGCATCCTGCCATACCTGCAAACCCCTAACCCAAACTCCCGTAATCAATAACCTGCCTCCCCTCATCTCCTCCGATTCCTATAAAAGTTTAGAGTTTAGGGTTTAGGGTTTCCTTGGGCCTTACTTACTGATGCTGACGTGTGGGTGGAGCAGCGGATCCCTATAAAAACCTTGACGCATGCTATGGCAGTCCTTGAATTCCCTCCTCCATTCCCCCTTGGAGCACCGAACTCTAAACCCTTAAACCCTAAAGCCCTAAACCCCCCCCTAATTCCCTAAACTCTAAACACCCTAAACCCCAAAACCCCTAAACCCTGTTGTATGTTTAGTGCTTGCAAGCCTCCTGGGGAAGGTGCGAGGCTTTGGCAGAGTGTCCACCTGGGGTAGATTACGACCCTGAGGCCGGGAGAGCTTCCAGCCCCCTCCCAAAGCGTTTCGGGTTTAGGGTTTCAGGTTTAGGGTTTAGGGTTTGGGGGGCTTTATATGAGGAGCCTGTTATGATATTGGGCAAGTCCATGTTCAATCTACTTGGGGGGGAGAGCTTGAGGTTGCCAAGGCTTTGGGTTTGCTGCTAGAAGGAGGTTCAGGGTTTATAGGTTTTATAGGGCTTATAGGGTTTGTAGGGTTCGGGGTGTAGGGTTCTCTTGGTTGAGGTTGGAAGGCTTGGGCGCTGTTGGTAGCTCACGGCCAAGCGCCTGCAAGGTGTCGCCCTACACCCATAAGGACCGCCTGCGGCCACTGAAGGATTGTTTTTGCAAAATTCGAGGGAGCTTGA